TTTTGTCTTACGTCCATGAGGTCCGTGATCTCTTGGACCATTATTATCCATTTTTTTTTTTGTTGTGTTTTATGAACCAGATGTCTTCTTCTTGTATCTTTGTTATTTTTGTTTTTAGCGCAGTCCATGTTACTTCAATGTCTGTCTGTACCAAGTTTTCGATCGTTTTTTCTTTCTCATTTTTTCTCATTTCTCAATTTCTTTCTCAAATTTGATACTTATTTCTTTTTTTTTGTTCAGAGTTCTTCAGTTGTGAGATATCTATTTTTCTTGTCACTGTTTTCTTTTTGACTTTGAGAAATATTTTTAATCTAAATTCCATTATTACTAGATTGTGATCGCTATGTATATCAGCTTCAGGGTATGTTTTCGTAGATTGTATGTACTTCTTAAAGGTGACATTAAGCAAAATGAAGTCAATTTGATTTCTAACAATTCTGTCTTTTCTGTCTGCAGGTGATTTCCATGTGTACACCCTTCTAGGATGTAGTTTGAAGAAGGTATTGGCTATTAACATATTGTTTTCTACGCAGAATTGTACAAGTCTATCTCCTCTATTTTTCCTGGTACCTAGACCGTATGCTACTATGTGGTATTCTTCAGCACCACGACCAATTTTCGCGATAAAATCACCCATGATCATCGTTATATCACCTCTTTCTGTAAGTCGCTTTATTTCATCTATGTTGTTACAAAATTTTTCGATTTCTTTGTCTGACTTGTTACTTGTTGGAGCATAGACCTGAATAATATGTAGTTTTCTGTGAGTTGTTTGTAATTTCAACACTGCTACTCCATCATTTAGAGTGATGAAGTCTGTGACTGATTAAGCAATTTTGTTCAAGTTAATATAGCAGTTCTATATAAATGTCCTGGGTCTGACTAATATATATATATATATATATATATATATATATATATATATATATATAAATTATGATTTTTGAGGATGCAGTCAGTTTATTTGGCCCACAAGACAAAGAAAACTCTTTGACTTACTGTCAAGCTTTCGAATTTTATTTAATTCTTTTTCAAGACATCTATAAAAAGAAATATAAATTAACTAGTTAAAATTGTTAATATTGTCTTACTTACTAGTCGTGAGATTACAGTTGTTACTATGATTATACTTTACAAAACAAACCATTATAAATATATTAAAAATATTTTTTATTAAAAATAACTATATTGTCACTATATATGTCAGATATATGTCATATATGTCACTATATATGTCCATTAATCAAACCATTGTCATGGTTTGATTAATGGACATATATGAATGAAAATACAGTTACTTTATGTGGAAAGCAAAACCAGTAACAATAGTTTTTATTATAATTTATTTAATTGTCTATAAAAAATATAAATTAATCCAGTCAGCAGTTTGGCTTAAGCACATATGAATTTTTAATGTTAGGATGTCAATAGAAAATGAGATCTTGACGGTATTTATTGATATGTTAATATGTAACAATAAATGGTACTAATTAATTAACATTTATTGTTACATATTAACATATCAATAAATACCGTCAAGATCTCATTTTCTATTGACATCCTAACATGAAAAATTCATATGTGCTTAAGCCAAACTGCTGACTGGATTAATTTATATTTTTTATAGACAATTAAATAAATTATAATAAAAACTATTGTTACTGGTTTTGCTTTCCACATAAAGTAACTGTATTTTCATTCATATATGTCCATTAATCAAACCATGACAATGACATATATAGTGACAATATAGTTATTTTTAATAAAATTTTTTTTTAATATATTTATAATGGTTTGTTTTGTAAAGTATAATAATAGTAACAACTGTAATCTCACGACTAGTAAGTAAGACAATATTAACAATTTTAACTAGTTAATTTATATTTCTTTTTATAGATGTCTTGAAAAAGAATTAAATAAAATTCGAAAGCTTGACAGTAAGTCAAAGAGTTTTCTTTGTCTTGTGGGCCAAATAAACTGACTGCATCCTCAAAAATCATAATTTATATTTAAATCAACAGTCAAGAATACCACTATCTTATATATATATATATATATATATATATATATATATATATATATATATAATTTATGTTTTGTTTTTTGTGTTCCTGAACCAGACCATCTTACTTCACTCATCCCCAAGATGTCTATTTTCAGTCTTACCATCTCGGCTTCAGTGTTTGCCAGTTTCCCGGACATAAATAAGCTACGTACGTTCCAGGTGGCAATGCGTACTATTCGATCGTATATTTGTATTTTATGTACACTTTCTTGGCTAGTTGACTAGGGGATTCTTCGCACCCTCTCCCCATTTAGGGAGGGCCATTTTCTTTTTCTCATCTGCCATTTGGATTTGTGGAAAATATAATGGACATGACAGAAGTCAAGAGTAGCCAACTGACAGATATTCTTTCTCGATTGAAGTGGGGCATAGCAATTGGTATATGTTCTATCTCCTAGGGGTCTGAATACAGGGGATTTGAACATTAAGTGAAAATTAAAATTAAAATTTAGAATATGACAGAATATTTAGTAAATAGAAAATGGATCAAAATGTTGGGCGCCAACTAATTTTAGAATAAAAAAAGTAAAATGAAAGAGATAAGTTAATAAATGAATAAAATCGAAAAAAATTTAAATAAAATAATTTCTAAAGAAAAATAACAAATATGTGACGGTTAATAACATTACAAAGTTTAACACGCCCCAACTACCTTATTTTATACTCTTTCATTTTGGCATCAATTGGTGCCACCCTAGATTAGATTAAATTTCCCCCAATATTTTCATTCTGTCTCCGTTATGCGTTAGTTCAGCTGATTTTTTGACAAATTATCTATTTAATAAACTGTTCTTTTTTTCATCAGTTTTTGATATCCTTTTCGTGAACTATTTTATTATTTTGTTCTCGGATACATCTCATCTAATTAAAACATTTTCTTTGCGCTGTGTTTCAAATTTTGCCATACACGTTGCTATTGATACTTTCGCTTCCTTTTTAACGATTTTATAGTTCTGAAGATCAGTGTTTGACTCATTGTCCTGCAACTATTTATATGGTTTCATCTTTTCTTGTATTTTTTCTTGAATTTCAAATGAGACCACCACCAGATCTCAGGTAATATAGCTCTTCCTCTTTAGCGACCTCATAGCTGTTTCCGACCCATTTTATGCCTCTCTTTATATGGTTTTCTCTTCTACTTTATTTTTTCTTAAATTTCGAATGACCACCACCAAGTCTCAGGTAATATAGTTCTTCACTCCTTTCTTCAACATAATTTTTAGTTCCAAAGTCCAGTTCTCTATGTATTTCTTGATACCCTATTACCTTTTATTATGATTTCGTCTTCTGGTCAAATATATCTAAGTGTATCTTCTAATTGATCATATAAATCATGTCTTTGTCAATCAGAAATATACAAACCCCATTCCTAGTGTTACTGTTTCCTTCAAAACACAATTTTTATCCTTCGCCCAGTTTTTTTACCCTTTACCCTTTACCCTTCATGTCTTACATGCAAGCAATTTGTATTCTACTTCTTTTAAGTGCATCTATAAACTCCTTAATCCTATCTATAACTTCCAAGATTACAAGTCCCTATCCTGTTTTTTCTAATTTTATATGTTGTAATAGTCTTTACCTGGAAATCGGAACAGAGACTCTTTTGATATGTTGGAGGTCTTTTCATAATTATGGTCGTAAACCATTTTCGGACATTTAATGCCTGAATGCCTTTTTTATCAGCTTATATTCTTCATGTTCATCACGATTTGGCAAACACTATTACCTACTACTACTACCTACTAACGCAAATAAAGAACAGTATTACCTCACACCCGCTTACATTTTTTGTATAGGCCAGAATAACTACTATAAGGACTCTGTCCATATCTGGCCACTAGGATGAACGTGTCTATATGGGATACCACACTTTATAAGTAGGAAGAAACTGTTCTGTACAATATTGACTACTAACTAGATTTAAAATTAATTTCTTATAGAAGAAAGCTGTCTATTTTTAATAATTTTTTGTAGTTTTATATAACGTACTTTTTTTTTTTTTTTTTTTTTTTTCCTTGGCTTGGACAATTGTCATTCAGCCAGTATCCATCAACATAAGTTTTGTTAAAGAATTTAAATATGTCAATTAGTGAAACATGATTAATATAATAATAATATCAGCTAAGCTAATGTACATACTATGTTAATAAATACTATATCATACCTTTATTATAATTTAGTTATTGAGAGACGCCATCAGAAATTCATAGTGTATACATCTTACAAATAAAAAAAAAATATAAAAATAAAGATATCTACCTACTATGTTAATAACTACAACTATGGTAATACATTTTTTTTTTCACTACGTTAGGACATAAACCCGATTCAACCTCTCGGAGGTTTAGATCCTCTTAGTGATTGTTTTAGTATATTTTTATTTATTTTTTTTTTTCTTATTTTGTTCTTTTTTTTTTAATTTATTTTTATAATCATCTTTTTTCTTTTTTTTTTTTATAACGTACTTGGAAGTTCTACTTTGAAAAAAGATGGTTTATTATAAAATTAATGGGAAAAACCCCGTAATTGGCTGTATACCATCATTTAAAAAAACATAATTTATTATATTAAACTCACATTAAACTTAAGGTACTGTACTTTTCAATTTCAAGAATATCTAGAAAAAGTAATATCTTCTCTATCTTCTTCAGATTGACGGATTGTAATAGCGGAAAAAATTAACAAGATAAAAAAATATCAAAAGAAATACTAGGTATGTTAAAGATACATTTATAAACCACACAATACTCTTGTGACAAGTCTAGATAACGCATTTGTGACAAGTTTTTCAGGAATTTAATGAAATGTCATGTAATAGGTCCATAACCATAAAATTTATGATATTGATAGGGAATATAGGGATATGGATTATATGTTGTAATTGTAATGAATAATTATGTTTTTAGATATAAATATAATTTTTTTATGTTTTTAGGTATTGGTAACATCTGGATTAAGTTTACCGGAGGATCTAGCATTTGATTGGTTAACACGTAATATTTATTTTACCGATGCTCTCAAACAACATGTTGGAGTGTGTTCCAATGATGGTAACCATTGTACAGTACTAGTCAACAAAGATATTCGAAAACCACGTGGGATTGTTGTCAATGTGGAAGCTGGGTAAGTAATAACTTTTTTTAATTTCCCTTTTAAAGTCATATGTAGTGACAAGTCTCACTTGTTACCTTCGTAGGTTCTTCTATGCTTTTCACAGTCTTCTTTCAGTTGTGACCTATTGGGATGTTAAAGGGACCTATGGGAAGTAAACGTTTATTTTACTTTTCTATTGTAAATTGGTTTATTTATATATAAAAAATAATTATTCGATAATAATTAATATTAGATTGGGATAAATAAAAGCCCAAGAAGGGACCTTTGCTCGATACAAACTTCAATAAATGAGTAATTTGTACTTATGTAAAAATTAATGTTGGTCATTATGGTAGATGTAATATTAAACATACAGTAATAAATTGAAATAAACTAAACGATTTACAAATCGATACTGGCATCAAGTGGCAAGAATAAAGGTTAAACAAGAACTGTCGGAAGCAATAAATATAAAAAAAAAGAGTGAGACAAGGCTGTATATTGTCGCTTTTACTTTTTAACTTATATTTAAAGGAAATATTTAAGAAAGCCTTAAAGACAACCAAAGGTATTATTGTGAATCGTGTAACCGTCAGCAATATTAGATATGCCGACGATATCTTAGTGCTTGCTAATTGTGGAGAAGACCTTCAAAATCTAATGAACAACATAAAACAGACTTGTGATCAGTATGGATTCAAACTCAACGTTAAGAAAACTAAATATATGATAGTTAGCAAACAAAATTATATACAGGATGACGGTATAAAAGTCGGAGATGCCACACTGGACAGAGTAGAGAAACTCGTGTATCTCAGCAGTAATATCAATGAGAGCTGGGATCTAACCTCAGAAATTAAAAGCGGAATAGAACAAGCCCGAGTTGCTTTTGTAAAACTGAGAAACGTACTTTGCAGTCACGATCTTAGCATTGACCTTAGAGTTCGAATGACATCTTGCTACATCTTTCCTGTCCTGCTGTATAGAGTGGAAGCGTGGACTCTAACTGAGGCTATCCTTAAACGCTTGACAGCCTTTAAGATGTGGGTATACAGACGACTACTGAAAATAAGCTGGGTCGACAGAGTTAGAAATGAGGAGGTCCTTAGACGGCTGAACCAAACAACACAACGTGTCAATATATTAAAGAAACGCAAGCTGGAATACTTCGGTCACATTATGAGACACCCTGAAAAATATGATCATTCAGGGAAAGATCCAAGGTAATCGTGCTCCTGGTAGAAGAAGAACATCATGGCTGAAAAATCGTAAGAGAAGAAGAAATCTAAGAAGAAGAAACGATTTAAAAATATATGTACATTAAAACACACAAGTAATACCACCCTTCAGATTAAATGCAGCTAATTTGTGATATAATAACTTTCTTCTTCCATTGACCTATCTATTGTGGATGGTGATTGTTAATATAACGGCGTATTCTATTAGCGGTTTGTATAAAATGTTCTTACATTTTAAACAGATTGTGGGAATACGAAATTGACGTCCACAATATATTCATAGATTTCAAACAGGCCTACGACTCAATGACTAGATACAACCTATATCAAAATATTGCATAGCTTTAACACCCCGCAAGAATACATCCGACTAGTCAAAGCAACAATGGATCCGTTAACAGCAACTGTCCGAGTACAAAATGAGCTCACTGAAAACTTTTTAATAGTCAAAGGATTAAAGCAAGGAGACGAGCTGGCACCGACACTATTCAACCTGACTCTCGAATATGTAATAAGACAGCTAAATATAGGTAATCTCCTAACAAATAAATCAATACAGGTTGCCGCCTACACCGATGACATCAGCATTCTGTATGCAGAACAGAAGAGGTGGGAGAAATATATTTACAATTAAAAATAGAGCTAAAAGAGACCGGTCTAGAAATAACTATTTAAAAGACAAAAAGCTATCATAGGCAAGAGCTAGGGGATCTAGACGCACAGTTGAATTAGAGGACGATATTAAAACTGTAGAAAATTTCACGGAAGTTGCATTAAACACGGATAAAACAGAACCAGAGTTCAAAGAAGAATAGTAAAGGGAAATTAAGCTTATTTTTCACTCGTCAATGTCTTTCGCTCCAAAAACACACACTAGAGATCGAAAAACAGGGTCTACAAAACTATTATCAGACCACTAGTATATTATGGATACGAGACATTGGTGATAAGAGAAGACACAAAAACAAAGCTGCAAGTCTTTGCATAAGTGAGAATGAAGACCGAAAAATTGCCGAAAAGAGCCCTAGATAGTGAAATGCAGGACGTAAGACCAAAAGGAAGGCCACGAAATGCGTTTATGTTGTGACTCTAGGTCGATGATAATGGATAGATTTTTAATTACTTTAGGGACTACATGTCTCCCTGCTCGATTTTTAACACGTGGTACTTGTCAGTTAAAACGACACAGACCAACTGGCTGAGGTGACAGCAATATAATTTAAGAAGACAGCTGAACGTGACTACGTGTCGGTGTGTTCCGAAATTAATGTAATTTTTAATTGTGAAATTATAAAATTTATTTTGTTGTAATAATAACTAATATCTTATTAATGATCCCATAGTTAAAATTAAATTTGTTTAAATGATAAAATTTATTGTCTAAATCAGCAAATCCCTATTATTGGAAAAAGAAATGAACTATTATATATAATAGTGTGTGAAGTGTTTTAACTTCTGTGTTTTTTAAACGATGGTATACAGCCAACTACGGGCTTTTTCCCATTAATTTTAAATACACTTTAGCTCTTCTTAGTACATACTTAAGACGTAATAGTACGTGCTCTTCTGTACGTATTGTATGTACCCCATTGTATGTACTTAAAACGTACATTTTACATCATGTACGTACAGTACCAAAATTGTACGTACTCAAAACGTACTGAGCTGTTTTGGAATAAACCTCAAAAAAAATTGAACAAAATAAACAGAGCATTTCGAATAAATGCAAAATTGTTTTTTTTTTAACATAATATATTAAAAATTACTATAGTATTACGACTGGAATCGAAACCACATTTAAAAAACTAATTTTTCTGTTTTACTATTTCGTATAACACTAGCAGAAAAAAAGCTCATTTAGGCGCCTCCCAAACAGTTGCGCCCGCCTACAGTGCATCCCCTGCAGACCTGTTATTGCCCGCCCTGTACGTGAATTATAAGTAAGTGGCAAGCAGTTATTAGCAGACTTAAAAGCTGCAGAATAATTTATAGAACAATTTGAAGTTGTAGCAGATAAATAGATGTAGTCCTACGATCCTGAGTTTTTGTACAAAGTCAATGAAACCGATCTTATAGAAAGCTATATAATACCGCTTCTGTTGATAGGAGAGTAAAAAAAGACAAGAGCACTTAAAAATGTGAAAAGTTTCACCTGTTTTGTAAAGTGATACGACTGTTTTGTAGAGTGGTACGACGAAATTTTTATCCCTTAAGTAAGAAAGTACCAAAAATCTCTTGGAAAAGAAGGCGGTAGAGTATTTTTAATTGTTGATAATGAACCATGTCATCCCACCCAAGAATTGTAAAAAGAGACAATGGCCAGTTTCTAACAATATTTATATCGCCAAACGTTACAAGCTTGCTGCAACCAGTCTGGATCAGTCTGTTATCGAAACATTAAAATGCTATTCTAGAAAGCAACTTTCAAGGAAACTTTAAGTTAAGAGTCAAAAATAGTCTTAGTCTTATTAAGACCAGGGCGTTAAGCAACACCATACTGCTGGAAGAAACGAGGGGAGACATTCTTCGAATATCCCTAAGGATATTCAAGAGAAAAACGCCCACCGTTCCATCCACCATAATGGTGCTCTGCCCGACTGCTCAGCCCTGGGTTCGTTCCCTGTTCATTCTCTCTCTACACCAATCCCAGAAAAGTACAGGAAATAAAAAATCTTATAAAGTCATAATAAATGTATATTTATTTAATGAAAAAAGTGAAAAACATAAAAATTCTTAAAAGGCAGAAAATATTCATTTTTCACGTTGAGAACTCCTATGAATAGCTGTTCTGACGAGACTTATTAGGTCGAAATACGTATCAACAGATACATAGGATTTGTTTGCGTGAAATCAAATATTTGCTGCCTTTTTTCATTTTATTCGGATCTACTCTGTGTGAGTACTAGAACCACAATTCGCTAAGGATTTCTGCTTAGTTGTAAAAGACATGTCGTGGAATGCAAATTTTAGATTCCCCATGTCTCTTTTAACATCTTTTATCAACGTCCGTTTGCCTTGCAATTTTTAGAAGGCTCAGATTATAGCAGAAATCTGAATTGTGTTTCGAAACTATTTTACGATTTTTGTATATTTATTTATTAAATAAAAAATAAACAGAATTCAAATTAGAAATGTGAAACAAAAATAAATTTTTAAACTGAGACTCAGTTTATTCTTCTAATAAAAGATCCTGCCGGTTGCCGGTAAAAAATAACTAAAGTATAAAAAAGTACTCAGTTTTAGTTCGTTCCGAAGGAGTCGTTCAGTTCTCCAGGAAGGGTTCCAATCTTTGTGGAAGTTAGCCGCTGTCGGTGGTTGTTGGTTGGGTTAAGGGGAGTTGTTGGTCTAGGTAATGGCAATCATTTTCGTCCCATGTTGGTAAATGGGTTTCAAATTCAAGGTATTGTGGTTGGCTGATTTCTTGCTCCCACGGTAGTGTGGTTGTCTATTTTTTCGAAAATGTCGAGAAAGAAGATGAAATTAATGTCAAAGTTAAAGTGGACACGGGAAACAGCAAGTGAAACGTTTGCTGGCCTTAAAACTGCGTTGAAGTCAATGGAGCGTCAGCCCGAATGTGAGCACATTCAAAGCATATGCGTAACTTGGGTGGCCCAAACCGGATCACGTAAGTTAAACAGCTTACTTTGATCAAAATATTCAAGACACAATGACTATTCACTTTTATTTTATCATACATATATGTACATATGTATTAAGTACACATTAAAAACATGTAAAACTGTCGCATTTTCGCTTATGTAATTATTAAACATGGATACAATCTCAAAAATTAGCTCCTTTACACATTTAAAAATACATGCTTGTTCAGATAAATCCAAATATCCGAATTTTTTATTATACGAATGTGATCCGACCTCAATTAGTTCAGATACTCACTATTTAAATTCTTAGAATCTGCAATGGTAATGAAAAATAAATGATAATCACCAAGTTTTAGATTACATATCTATTTGATTTTATTGAGGCAACATTCGGTCTTTATATATGAATAGTTATATACGAATACGTATGCTAAATATATATGAAGCTTCTACCAATATGGGCATAATATTTCAGTCTTAATATAATAGTCCTGCATAAATACAATAAAATTTACTAAAACATAGCTACCTACTTCATTTTTTACTACGTAATTTACTCGGGTGACTAAATATGAGAATTTCTTTTGTAGAGATATGTATTGGTCAGATTGGGGAGTACCAGCAGCAATTGGATATTCACTTATGGATGGTTCCCATGACAGACCGTTTGTTACCAATAATATACATTGGCCCAATGGTTTGGCTCTAGATCAACCTAACTCTAGACTTTATTGGACTGATGCTAAAAAGATGACATTAGAAAGTATTAATTTAGATGGAACTGATCAAAGGGTAAGCTATAGATTATTCTAGGAAAGGGTATTTTTGTGCAATAATAATTTGGCTTGTATTAATGTCTTGTTTTCTGGTTTGTGTTTTTAAAAAGCTCTTTTTGTTAAAGGTTGTGAACATTTGTTAATTCTTGTCTTGGTATTGTTAATTGGCACTTTCTCCAATTTTATATTTTTAATAAACGTCAGGAATTTAACTAGTGTCTCAGGCACCCGCAGTATTTTATTATTATTTGATATTATTTATTAGCAATTAATTAGATAGCTTTCAAAATAATTTCTAAATTTAGAACAGAACAAGATTATGTTAACTTCAAATTATAGTCAATATATAATTCAGACTAATTAACATCATTCTCATATAAATTATCAACCAATTCAAAATTAATTTTCGTCTATTCCCATTACTTTTCTGTAACGTCCAAATCGTGCAACATCATACTACTGGTACAATCCTCTAAACATCTTTACATACAAAAGAAACGCTCATAGTTCTACTTATCAGAATTATCTTCTGTCCGATAGCTTAGCCCTGGGTTCGCTCGCTGTTTGGTTTGCTCCCACGCCCATCCTAGAAAGGTACAAAAAATTTATTTAGTCTTTACATGTCTATTTAATACATTAACACACTGTCATTAATATAATATATTCGAATAGAACGTGGAATTAGACAGGGTAATACTATCTCCCCTAAAGTGTTTACAACTGTTCTTGAATATATGTTCAAGCAAATGGAACGAGAGGATAGTATGGGAATTAATATAAATGGGGAAGATCTGAACCATCTAAGATTTGCCGATGACATCATTTCAATATCTGATATAATTGATAAAGCTACAAAAATGCTGCACACGCTCTATAAAGTGTCAAAAATTGGTCTTAAAATTTACACCTCAAAGACAAAATTTATGACCAACCTTGTAGTCAGCGGTATAATTCTGATTGAGAGCTATAGCATCGATCAAGCAATAGCTTACAAATATCTAGGGCATGAGATTCGCTTGGGCCGAGATAATCAGACAACTGAAATACAAAGAAGGATAGGTCTCACATGGGCTGCCTTTGGTAGATTGAATAACATTTTCAAGTCTATTGTCCCAGTTTGTTTAAAAAGAAAGGTTTTAACCAGTGCGTTTTACCGGTTCTTACATATGGTGCAGAAACATTAACTCTGTCAAATAGAAGAATAAATAAAATAACGAGTTACACAACGCGCTATGAAAAGATCAATATTAGGTATTACCATCAGAGATAAAGTATCAAATCTAGAAATAAGAAGAAGAACAGAAGAACAACAGAAGTGTCTAACAACAGAAATGTTGCTAGATTAACGAATGATAGATGGACAAGAAAGATTCTGGAATGGCGACCAAGGCAAGAGGCATAAGGCAAGAATACATAATATGTTCCGAAAGATTTCCGCGGTTAGTACAATTAAACTTAGAGCTAAGAATAATTAATGCTATTACACGAATTAATATTCTTATTGAACCTCGTCAATTATCATTTCGATATCCTTTTCGATGTCTTTGTCGGGGCTTCCGAGGTCTCAGTCTCCCGAGCCCCCAGACACTACTACACTGATCACTAATCAAAGCATTAAAGTAATGCCTACTTCTCTTCGCCTATAAAAAAAACCCACTGCGAAAATTCTAAAAGCCAGCCTCGGAATACGGACGGGAAACAACAAAGACGTTGTAGCAAACGAACAAGGACTTTGAATATAAATACATGGGATATCTAAGGGTGGAGAACCAAGTCAGATTAAGTCATAGCAGAATTAAAAAAATAAAATCAGAAATCACAGTTCTTACCAAAAAAAGGCCAAGGTAGCGATGACATAAGAGGTTTTATAAATATTTATAGTGGAATACAGAAAGACAAGAGACCACAAGCAGGGGTATCAATATTGATAAAAAAGTCTTTTTCTTTTCAACAATTCCCTTGATAATCGTACCTATTATCAAGCGTCATAGATCTCCCATTTCTTCATTTCGATAACACAAACAATTTTTACCAATTATAAAATTTTCGAACATTATTTACAAACTAATCTTTTTCTACCAATTCTTATGAACTAACAAAAACATATCTTTCTAAAATCTATTCTATGGTCCTAAATACTGCACACATTTATTTGGAAAACCCGCTTCCATTGTCTAGGATTTCACTTTTTCACTTAAGCTTATTCACGTCACTCAAATATATTTTACAAAGAAAATAATTTATGCATATCTTACGTTCTGTTTAATACAAGTAATCCAAAGATAATGGACTTTCATTCTTCGAAACGTTTGTAGTTTATTATTCGACTTATCTGAATTATTTTAATTTTTTGAACTTTGAAATATTTTAAGAAACCAATATTTTTCTCGATTTTACATATCATAACAATATATATATATATATATATATATATATATATATATATATATATATATATATATATATATATATATATATATATACTTTTTCTTAACGTGCCCTATCAAGTCCCCTTGACGTTGGCGATTAACATGGCGAAACTGTCCCTGTGTCGAGCTATTCTAAAGAGTTGCTCAGCTTTCTTTATTCCTGTCCACTCTCTGATATTATTCAACCAAGAGGCCTGCTTTCTACCAATTCCTCTGCGTCCTTCGATTTTACCCATCATAATAAGTTGAAGAATATTATATCGGTCTCCCCTTACTACGTATCTTTTCTATCTACTACGTATCTATTTCTACATTTGATGTTATCAAGCAGCTCGCGAGCAGCATTTGATCTCTCAAGGACTGCCACATTTGTCAGCATAGCCGTCCATGGAATTTTTAGTATACGTCTGTGCAGCCACATTTCAAAGGCCTCCAGACGATTAATGGTGGATATTTTTATTGTCCATGCTTCGACACCGTATAAGAGGACTGACCAAATGTAGCATTTAACCATACGCTTTCGAAGTTGAAGTTTCAAGTTATCATTGCAGAAGAATGACCTCATTTTTAAAAATGTCGTGCGGGCTATCTCGATTCTACATTTTATCTCTTGATCTGGATCTAGTTGTTCAGTAATATGGCAACCAAGATATTTAAAACTGGACACTCTTTGAATTATATGACCATCAACATACAATCGTGCATCTTGATTTGCTAAACGGCTAAACACCATTTGTTTTGTTTTTGAACAGTTTATGTTTAGGCCAAACTCTCTTCCCACTGTATCAATGGCGTTTAAAAGGCATTGTAATCCATTCATGTCATCACTTAAAATAACTGTATCGTCTGCATTTCTGATTGTATTTATCAGAATTCCATTAACTTTCACGCCCCATTCCAAATTATGCAGCGCTTATTTAAATATTCTATCTCAATATAAATTAAAGAACAGTGGGGATAGCATACAACCCTGTCTGACACCTCTTTGTATTTTACATATTTCTGTTAATTTTCCGTTTATGCAAGCTGTCGCTGTTTGACGCCAGTATAACTTTTCTATGAATCGTATGTCTTGACTATCAACTCCTTTATCTTTTAATATTGTAATTAATTTGTGATGCTGTACTCGATCAAAGGCCTTTTCATAGTCAATAAATACAGCAAAGACGTCTTTCCTTTCATCTCGACATTTCTGCAGTAATACATTTAGTGCAAAGAGGGCGTCCCGAGTTCCCAGTCCATTTCTGAAGCCAAATTGTGTTTCATCCTGATCTTCATATTTATCTCTGATTCTACTGTGGATAAAATGCGTAGAAATATTTTCAAAGTGTGGCTCAAATGGCTTATCATTCTATAATCGCTACAGTTTTTCGGACGATGTTTTTTTGGTAGTGTTATGAATTCGGACTTTAACCAATCTTCAGGGATATCACCAGTCGAATAAACATCATTGAAAAGTTTGACCAGTACTCCAATGTTCTCCTCATTTATAAGCTTTAACAACTCTGTCGGTATGTTATCAGGGCCAACGGCTTTCTTGTTCTTTGCTAATTTTATAGCATGCAGTATTTCTGATTTTAGTATTTCTGGTCCTTCAGCTTCAACTAAAGTCTCCGGTTCTTCGGGTCTATCATCATTATACAGTTCACTTATATAATTACACCAGGTTGTTCGAATTTCATGTTCGTCTATTATCATTTTTCCCGACGAATCGGTTATAGTATGTGGAGTTTTCTTATGATAAAGACCAGCTACTTCTCTAACTTTTTTAAACATATTAAACGTATCATGTTTTTCATTCAACTTTTCTAATTCCTTGCATTTATCCTGCATCCATTATATATATATATATATATATATATATATATATATATATATATATATATATATATATATATATATACACATTTATATATTTATTTGTTTAAAATATATTTTAGCAGTTCTGTTTAATTTTAGATAATTTTGGAAGGAATCGTGAAACATCCCTATGCCATCGCTGTGTTTGAAAACAAATTGTATTGGTCAGATTGGGATTCCCATAGCATTCAAACCTGTGATAAGTTCGATGGTAAAAATCATCATACACTCGTGGAAGAACATAAAAATCTAATCTATGGAATCAGTGTCTTTCATTATGCTCTCGAAAAGCGTCTAGTGAATCCTTGTGAGCATACTTCCTGTAGTGACATTTGTCTATTGAAGGCTCAGTCATACGCTTGTGCGTGCCCGGAAAATAAAATTTTAGATACGGATGGTCATACGTGCAAAGGTATGTATTTTACTTATTTTTACAATATAATATGAATTTAAAGATTGATACGTGGTATGTTTTCTTGTGAGAAGTAATAAGATTATTTGTTTTTCAATTCACGCAGTCTTTTCAATTCCAGATTCATTGATCTCATTTGGCCTCCCTGGTTCTCTCTGCACTCTCGCACCACTTGTTTCTGAGATTTTTTTCGTGATAAAAGTTTTTTCTGAACTGAACTGAGTGTACCACAAAATAAAGTAGTAATAATAAGCTAGAATTTTTTTTCAACATTTAATGTCCATACAATTTTTTAAAAATTGAATGCAAAAATTAAAAAAATATCATTTTTAACACCCATTGAAAATAAAAATAAGTAAAAAGGGAGTAATTAAAAAAATTTTACTCACTTTTTATTTAGATTATCCAATAAATTTATAAGGGTTTTACAAGTAACACAAAGGTAGGTCATAAATTAAATCGCGTAATCTGGGACCAAAAATAGTTTGATTGAACCTAACTTCATAATCATCACCCAGCCCCTTGCGTCCACTGCTCTACATAGACCTCCCTCATTTTTGTTCATTATGCTCTATCTTGAGCCCTCTTCATCCAATTTCTTGACATTTTCTTGAGATCGTCAGTCCAAAGAAAAGGGGGGCTTTTCCTCTACTTCTTTTGTCCAACCTGGGCCTCTACTTAAGCAATCTCTTCGTCTACCTTTCATCACTGATTCGGACTACGTGTCCGGCCCAGTTCCATTTCAGTGTGTCAATTCGTGAAATTACATCGGTAACTCCTGTTTTTCATGAGAACAAATGCCGAGGTCAAACAAATGTATAGTGCTAGCGACGTAGTCCAAGAGATTAAATCCCAACATCTAAGATGGGCTGGCCATGTTCATAGGCTCCCTAATAACCGCCTTACTAAGTTAATCTGGGAAGAAGTCCCGACAGGGAGAAGGCCCTTAGGACGTCCTATGCGTCCATTAGGAATGCGATGGAGAGATAATATATGGTCAGATTTGGGAACAATGGGGCTACCCACTGACTTAAACATCATGGACAACCGTTCGAGATGGAAGCAGGTTGTGCAGTCAGCCAAGACCCACCCCGGGTTGTAGTGCTACCAGAAGAATAAGAACTCCTGTTCTTCGTCTTAAGTCTACATTTCTAACTCGATCACGAAGCGATATACTCAGCATTCACCTTTCCATTTTCTTCTGAGCTATTTGCAGCGTTTTAGAACTTGTAGCTGTCAATGTCAAAGTTTCGGCAGCACCAATGCTGCCTATGATGACCTACACATGTAGGCAGCACATATTGGTCAAATGTGTTACAAGTGAATCTAACTTACTTTTGTACAAATGTGCAAAGAAAAAAGTTACAGCTATTTGAAGTTAGAAAATGAAAATAGATTTTTTCCTATATATCGAAAACTGTTAGAGATTTTTTATTAAAAATAAACATGGTTTTTTTTTTGACAGAAATATCTTTAAAAAAAAAATAACAGTGAAATTTGCACATCCCGTAAAACAACTATGTACACAAACGTACACATTTGACACCGTTTTAAAAAGAAAAATCGAATTCTGACGAAATCGATTTACAGCTTCATGATTCAGTTCCTTAGTTGTTGTCAGTTCATAGTTGGTACGAAATATATGTACCCTTTCATAAAACCCCAGAAGCAAAAGTCAATTGGGTTAAGATGTGCACATCTGGGTAGCCAAGAAATAGGCACATCAGGGGCCTCTTCCAATCCTATGCCCAGGACTGATTAAAAAGATATTTTCTTATTTTATTATGGTATTACCCTAGAGCACCATCCTGTTAAAACCACATAATTTCCTGAATGCGAAAATGGTCTCGTCTAAGTACTCTGGTAACACGTTTTGTACAAAGTATAAATCATTTTCACTGTTTAAATTGTTTAGAAGCAATATTGGCCCTATTAGATAATTATCCACAATTCCTGCCTAAACATTGACTTTAAAATTTCTTTGATGATGCGAGACTTTTTGCGTTGGGGTTTTCTTCACCCCAGATGTGCGTGTTATGATGGTTCGTAATGCCATTTCTGTTAAAGTAGCTCCGTCGGCAAACAATACATGATTAATAAAATTGACATTTTGTGTGTTTTCCGTTAAAGAGTAATCGCAAAATCCTATTATTTAAGGATACTCTTCATCCAATAATTCTTGAACGGGTGTGCTAAGGATGAAACTGCTGTCCCTTGAATCTTTTCCAAATAGTCATGTGAAAAACATCTAACTAAGCCGCTACTAGTCTTGTACTGCTTCCAAGGATTTCTTTAATATTACTTCTAAAATATCTTCTACGTTTGAATCTACTTTTGGTCGACCATTATTACCAACAAGTGTGGTCGCAATGTGCCTTTCTCTTGTAAACAGACGATCAACGATAAACGGAAAGAACTAATCGTCTCCCTAGTTTATTTTAATAAGAATGTTTTTCTGCATAACGCCTTGCAGGTGTTGCATGTACTATACCCTTGGCATTCACTTGTAACTACCAAATTACCAACAATTAATTAAAACCATAAATTCTACCAAAAGATAAACAGCTGCAGATAAGAATTCAAATTCAGAATAATAGCCTGTAAAGATAGGGAGGGTTCCATAATTAGTAACAAAGAACAGATACTAAACAGATGGGATGACCATTTTGACGAACTGCTTAGCGGCAATCACGAAGATGGCGAGAGTGAGGATGTTTCAAATGAATGAAGATGATCGGCAACCACCCCCCACCGAAGAAGAAATTAGAGAAGCCATCGCAACACTGAAAAATAATAAGCTCCCAGTTCGGATAATCTCCCTGCTAAACTTTTCAAAAATGGCGGCGACCCTCTCATGAAACATATACATAAACTGATAACTGCAATTTGTCAGCAGAAAGAAACACCCACAGACTGGAAGTTAGGTGTACTGTGTCCTATACACAAAAAGGGAGACATAATGGTGTGTGATAATTATAGAGACATCATTCTACTCAATATAGCATATAAAGTGTTGTCCAACGTATTGTACAAAAGACTCCTCCCCTACGCCGAACAAATAGTGGGAGGATATCAGTGCGGTTTCCGTCGTAATAAATCAACAACGGACCAGATATTTACAGTGAAGTAGATCCTTGAAAAAACCCTAGAGTTCGGCGTCAACACCCATTACATATTTGTTGACTTCTAAGCCGCATACGACTCCGTTAATAGAAATAAACTTTTACTTGCTATGGTAGAATTTCGCATTACACTCACAGGTGCAGAGAGCATGGTAAAAATCCAAAACGATCTCCCAAGACCCTTCCATTGCAAAAATGGACTAAGACAGGGTGATGGGCTATCGTGTCTCTTATTTAACCTGGCATTAGAAAAAATAATTCGAGGGTCGCAGATTACTACGAATGGTACTATCTTTAACAAATCCGTACAAATTGTCGGATACGCAGATGACATAGACATCAGGTAGGTCCATAGAATCTCTGACTGAAGCATTTCGGTCGTTAAGAGCATCTGCACACAGAATGGGACTCAATATAAATGTTAAAAAGACGAAATATATTTGTTGCACTAGGTCAAGTAACCCGACACCTACACGAATAATAATTGATGACCTAGAACTGGAAGGTGTTGACACCTTCATATACTTAGGGTCGCTGCTAACTAAAGATAACAACGTCAGTGAAGAAATCAAAAGAAAAATAGTGCTCGCCAATAAGTGTTACTATGGATTAAGAAGACAGATAGTCTCAAAAATGACTAGAAAAATTAAACTGATTGTATACAAAACACTAATAAGACCAGTGCTAACATATGGTTCAGAAACTTGGACACTAACACAGAATGACCAAGAATTGCTCAAACGTTTTGAGCGAAAAATACTAAGACGAATATACGGAGGCATAAAAGAACAAGGTTTGTGGCGCAGGTGTTAAAATTTTGAGTTGTATAGAAGATTTGGAGAACCTGACGTTGTAAAATTCATTAAGGTAGCACGCCTCAGATGGATAGGTCATGTAATCAGACGAGAGGAAGATGCCATAGTCAGAAAAGTTTTTGACCGAAGAGGGCCGATTGGACAACGAAGAAGAGGAAGACCGAGACTTAGGTACCAAGATAACCTAGAAAACGATTTGAAGTCTATCGGAATGAGACCATGGAGAAGAGTTGCCAGAGACAGGGGCAAATGGAGGATTGTTCTGAAGAAGGCTTTGGCTCATAAAGAGCTGTAACGCCACTGATGATGAATTAAAACCCTAATTTAGAGTCCTCAAACTTACCCAGAATTAAATATATATCTGTAATTTCTGAAAACGTGTACACCAATGTAATAGAAAATTTAGTTTTTCTTAATAATCTTAAATGCACAATAATTGGAATATTTATAACTGATAATAAGCATTGTTGATGCCAGTATTAAATAGATAGTAATCATAGCAACAATTGTTATATAGTATTTTTCATATAAAAAAGCTTGCACGTCATTCAAGATTTACGTCGTCAGAACCCCACAGCGTTGCCAAAACATCAGAATAGTTAGTAAATGAGGAATTTTTAAAATGTCAACTATTTGTCAAACTATTATATTAACTATTGTTCTGAAGCTATTTTCTTGTGGCATTTTAAATTAATTATCTACTATTAAACTGGGAATAAGCCACAATTAAAGATAAAAATGCGTTTATTGACGTTTCAATTTCCACTTCGGAAATCGTTCTCAAAATACAAACAGTAAATTAAACAAATTTTGTTTTTTGTTATATAGTGAAAAATTCTTCTAATAATTTAATTTTATCTGACTCATTTATATTGACAATTCAGACATACATTATGCATTTTAAAGTAGACGACTTTAAAATGATATTGCCAATATTGTTGAGTTGCGCTCCTGGGACGACTTTACTTGAAATCAACTTTAACTTGAGAATATCCGTCAGAAAAAAATCATAGCATGTAATTCGTCTTTAAAAAGACAAACACATGACATGATGACAGTAAAA